AGGTAGGCAGGGCCCCAGGCAGCACAGTACATGCCTGGAGGACTAAGCTTGGGGATCTGTGCACTCTCAAACACAGGGGGCTGAGGATTACTCAGAGAATGGGGTCTGGAGGTGTGTGGGAGGGAGGATTGCTGAGGGAGAATGTGACAGCTGAGGAGTGACATCTGGGAAACTTCCACCAACCAGGTTAATGCACTTGCAGGTAAACGAGGGGCTGAGGCTCGGTGGCTTAGAGGAGGGAAACCAGAGAAACGTTTAGGGCCAAATCATTGCATCCACCCACATGGGAGACCTGAGCTGGGCTTGTTGGTATCAACCACCATCTCCTGGTGCACTTAAAACCCATGGCTGGGGAACCTGCCTGGCAGGGCTTGACCACAGTACTCACCAGTGAGTGCTAGGGCAGGAGGTGGGCCATGTTAGGCTGGGCCAAGACACTCACAAGCTCACAAGAGAACTGAATCTGGAAGCAGATTCTGTGGGGGACTGTGGGCTCACCCTGTGGGACTGCCATACTAGGTGGTTTACCCATGGGCCAGGAATGGTGACAGGCCAAGGTCAGTATGTCCATAGAAGTCACCAACACTCGGGTACTGGGTTTGGGAACAGAGCAGGTTGGTCCAGGCTATAGCACCCACAGGTGTGGGGTAGGGGCCAGGTTGCAACCAGAACACACAAAGGTCAAGACTGGAGGGTCAGACTGCGCCAGGTAAGTGCCTAGCACCTACTGGTGAAAGTGAGTCCTGGGGTCTGGAAGTGGGTCTGGTGGGGGAACTCGAGAAACTGCCCTGGTGGACCAGGCTGGGCCAGTTCATAAACCCCACTGGCAGATATGAGTGCCAAGACAGGGACCACGATGGGCTGGGTTGAGCCACAAAACCTGCCAGTTCACATTAGAGCCAGGACTGAAGGAAATTCAGGTTGGGCTAGGCTGTAGCACCACTGGTAAATGCTGAAGTGAGACAGGTTATTCCAGACTAGGCTGTGGCATTCACCAGCACACCATAGACCCCTGTCAGGGGCAAGGGAGAGTGAGCCCAGTAGAAGGGTTGCGGGGGCTCCCTTTTGGGCAATTGCTCCCACGGCTGAGTGTGAGAGCTGGGACTTGAGACTGATGAGGTTGGCCAGGGCTACAAAACCCATTGGTCTGCATGTGAGCCAGGCTGGATGGAGAGCCAGTCTGGGCTAAGTGACTGCATCTACACTAGTGCATGCATAAGCCAGAGCAGGTGCAGGTCTGTCAGGCTCTGCTGCACGATCCACTGACAAGTACCAGGACTGCAGGCAGGCCCTGTCAGGCTAGACTGCAATAAGTACAACCTGGAAAGTGCAAGATCTGGAGCTTGGAGTGGGCCTAGCAGGGAAACTGTGAGCACTCCTCTGATGGGCCGTAGCTCCCACTGATGAGCATGAGAACTAAAGCTGGGGGCTGACCTGGATGGATAAACAGTAGCACCCACCAGAATGAGTGTCGGCTGGGAAGTGGAGTCAGTTGGGCTGAACTAGGCTGTAGCACGCGTTGATGTCTACGAGATCTGAATGGGATACAGGGTGGACTGGAGCAGTCTGCTGCACGTACTGCCATATGTAGAAACCAAGGATGCTGGGAGCAGCCCTCTCCCCTTTTCTCCTTCTCTCCTCCAGATACAGGAAGGAAAAAAAAATTGGAAGTTATTGTCTCATCCACTTTCCCCCATTCCTCAGCCCTCTTCATTCTAATCAGTGGTCCACATGTGCAGATATCCATGTCAACTATGTAAACATTATCAAAAATAACCAATTTATTATTTAAAAATGGTTAAAATAAAAATCTAAGACAAGCATGCTTCAATGATAGAAAATTTTGATGCATTCTCTATCATAATGAAAGCTATACAGGAATTCCCACTAGCCATAATTAATATTTAATACATAATTTGAGAAATAAGTAAAAGGTAAGCATGAAAAATATATTAGCATATGTGTTGCAAGACAACAAAAGTTCTTGTTTACAATTGGCAAACCATTTACAAAATAGTCGAATAAAGACGGTAAGAATTTTGCTACCATACTAGCCTAATACAGCTGTAATAAAGTATAAGACATCATTTATAACAACCAGGGATAATTAAAAATTAGTCAAACACAAAATAGGAAATTTCTATGGTGAAACTTGGAAACTAGAAGCAAAAAAATATGATAGAGCATGTTTTTTTCATGGGGAAACATCACAAGAATATCAGCTGTTTTCTAACTACCCTACAAATTCCACGGCAAGCTCCTATTAAATTTCAGTCTAAGTCTTCAAGCATCTTAACAAGTTTATTCTAAACTTTGTATGTACAGTCGCATTAAGGTCCATGAATAGTTATGTCACCTTTGAAACATAAGAAAAGGCACGGCACTTGTCCTATCGACAGGTAAGACGTAAGTTATTAAGGAACAAACAGCAGAGCGTTAGAGAGTGAGAGTATTAGACCTTTCTCACATATTACAAAGGAGGGACATAAATCAGAGGAGAAAACTGAATTGTTAACATACTGAAATGGGAAATGTAACTCAATAGTATGGATAGAGGATACTGAGCTGGATCCTTACCTCTTATTGAATAGGAAGGTGGACACCAGATTCTTCATTTAGCCTGAAAATCTTATTGAACAACCACTATGTATGAAGGACCTTGCTAGTTATTGGAAATATTCTGTTAAAAGGGTAAAACTTTTGCCATTACTACAACCCTAACCATTGAGGGTAAAAGTGTATGTTCAATGGAAGAAAATAAAGGATACTTTTTTATGTTCTCAAGGAAGGAAGGAGTTCTTAAACCAGAATCGTACACACACACACACACACACACAATGCATAAAGCAAAGCATACTTGATGTGTTTGATTACATAAAAATCTAAGGCTACATTATGATCTACACACAGAGCTCAGAGAAGCAGTGCATTCCCACAAGGACGCACCCATAGGACCCACCAGACATTGTAGTTTATGGTGGCATGGAATTGGAACTAATCTTGGTATCTTTACTTAAAGTATCAGGTTAAAAAAAAATATGGTGAATACACCCTATGGGATTCTGTGCATCCTTTAGAGGTGCTGATTTAGATGTACACTCAACAATACAGAAGAGAACCAAGCAGCATTTCATGGAAAGGGTAATAAGAGAATTTGAGAAACAGTCCTGTGTCATGTACATAGATGCCAAAGAGATATACTCACAACCAATACTATACATTCTGTAAGGGCACCTGCATACACACGGACCACATCAAATAGTATAGAGCTGGTTCCTGTGGGTTAACATCAGAATCGGAGTTAGAGATGAAGGAAGAAAACTGAGATAAAAGAGAGTATGTACTGATGGTGGTGGTGGTGAATTAAGAACTACCAATTTTCTTAACTCAATCCAAACAGCATGGGAGGTGGGGCAGGGAGAGAAGATGGATTTCACTCTGTTCAGAAGAGAGTAAAATACGACAGTCCTTGATCTGGAAGATGCCTTGGTAGGAAGGCAATCTAACTTCTTGTCAAGGCAGAAAAGGTTAAGTAATTACATTTAAGTTAAATGGAACCACTCATGATGCTCAAGTTTTTATCACTCCTTCCAGAAAATCCTTTTCTACCATCTCTTCCACTTTTTGCCTGGCTTTGCTGGAAGATGATCTGTGGTTCTCCAGTTTCATGTCCTTATTCGGGAAGGTGTTTGAGTAGAGGACAGGGTTCCCTGAGTGTTCTCCACGTCGGCTTGTGATTTTGCTGTTGAAGACGTGGCTGGGGACATGGAAGAACGGCAGGAGCTGCTCCATGCTGCGCACGGTGCAGATGCTGAGCAGCAAGGGCCCCGGCTCCCAACCCAACACTCTCCCTGAGTTGTCTTCCTCTGGATTTTTCTTTGCTCTTTTTCGAAGGACTTTTGCTAGTCGTACCACGTAAGGTTTAAATTCTCGTTGATGTATGCCTTGCCTTCTGACTTCCAAACTGGAATCATCGGAAGCTTCTGGAATAAAGGCCCATCGGTACATTTGGAACTGAGGAAGATTTTCAGAGGGCAATGCCAGAGCCAAATCCAAAAATTTGCAAGCAGAAAGACAGAAGTTTAGCCAGTGCTGGCTGCGGTAGGAAGTAGAAAAACCACTGACCCCAGTGTAGGTGGGATGGTGATGTTTTCTGCCTTGACAAGAAGTTAGATTGCCTTCCCAGGTGAACCAGAACACAGAGCAAGCTATTAGGCTGCAGGATAGCTCTAGTGGGTTCAGTCTTCTTCATTACATTTGGCTAAAACTGCTCAGCTATAAATACTTAACCATTGGCCCCAGTCCTGTTGCCTGGGCTTGTAACCACAGAGTCGGCCTCTGCTTGCATAGAAACAACTGCCCAGAGTTTTTGATGGTTCCTCATATAAGCTGCCCAAGGTCTCTATAAAAAGGTTTCTAAAAAGTGGCAGGAGCATTTGAGAAAGCTACTGAAAACTACTGGAGAACATGTGCAAAGTGCTTTGCATAAGTGCTGAGAAGGGAAGAGAGAAAGGAGAAAAGAGGAGAGGAGAGGAGAGGAAAAGAGAGGAAAAAAGAGAAGAGGAGAGGAGAGGAGAAGAGAGGAGAGGACAGGAGGGGAGAAGAGAGAAAGAATAAAAGAAAAGGAAAAGGGCCTAGTACAATGAATCAAATGGCTAATCTTCCTGCAAGCTCCAGAATCCCAAATGGGTACTGGTTTATATCCCAGCTGCTCCACTTCCCATCCAACTCCCTGCTTATGACCACGAAAACGGCAGAGGATGGCTCAAAGTCTTGGAACATTATGCCACATGGGAGATCTGGCAGAGGTTCCTGGATCCTGGCTTCAGATTGGCTCAGCTTTGGGTGTTGTGGCCATTTGGGGAGTGAACTAGCAGATGGAAGATCTCTGCTCTGTCTCTCCTTTTTTGTTCGTAAAATCTGACTTTCCAATTAGAAAAAAAAAGTCTTCAAAAAATGAACAAGGGGACAAAAATAAAGGATTTTCAAAAGAGTTATCATTGGGTTTGGAAGAACCTAAACATAGAACCTAAACAAATCTCTGCCATTCAGAATTAGTGACCACATTTTACATATTGACTTATCCAACAAATACTCATTGAATGTATTTTATGTTCCAAACGAAAGAAAAATTCTACTAGCTCCAGAAATGAAATAGACATCATAGTATGTTTCCTGGAGAAAGAACCCAAGATGTAGAACTGCAAGTTGCCTCCGAGAACAGGCTTGCTTCTAGCATCTTCTGCTGACCTGACCAGAGGCCTTGGCTTCCTCAGATTCCTGAATATGGCTTTCATTTCACCTTTTGTCTACTTCGTAGTAACCATGAATTGTCCTGATAGAAGAAATGAACATGGCTTGCACATTGGGACCCCAGCCACAATTCCTGCTCATCTAGTCTGGAAAACCAGAGTTCCTTTCTCCAACAAGGCTGGAAAACCAATGGGGTGAAACAAACCATTAGGTTTTAAAGATTGGCAAGAGAAAGCGTAGAGCTTGGTGCATTCAGAATGAAGCAGGTCTTAAGATTTTGAACAGTAGAAAAATTAGAGGGGCTATAGAAACCATACACCAACCCTTTCAGCAATGTGCTTCCAGTCAGTAGTCCCTGTGAATGGACATGCCTCCGTGCAGCCCACATTAGCACAAGTTGTGGAGGATTCAGAGCTTCTGAGTTCTGAGACCCTGAGAACCTGGTGGGAATGGGAACCACACATGGGGGATATCTTAGCAACACCCACATGCATCATTGAATGGAGCCATATCCCTCCAGCTGCATCAGTCAAATTCAGGAAGGAAGTGAGTTTGGGTCACTGTTTAGCAAAAAGATCATGAAAAGAAATGAGAAGAGTTAGTGGGGAGATAGCCAGGCTGGAGATGAGTGTGCATGGTGGATCAAGGCCCCCACCATGACTGAACCCAATACAGACAGGTATACAAAACATGATAGCTTGAGAGCCTGATTCTACTGATGCTGTACAAATATCCAGTGCTCCCAGCTTTCCCACAACCAGGTTCACAGCATGACTACAGATGAAGACACTGAGACCTAAGGGCTGGCACAGTAACTTAGCAGCCTAATCCTTTACCTTCAAGCATGAGCATCCTATATGGGCACTGGTTCAAGCTTCTAATTCAGTTCCCTGCTTATGTCTGGGAACTCAGTGGAGGATGACCCTAGGGCTAGGGCCCCTGAACCCATATGGGAAGCCAGAAAAAGTTCATGGCTCTCAGCTTTGAATTAGCTGCATTTTGGGAAGTGAAACAATGAATGGACAACTTCTCTGTGTGTCACTCCTTTTCTGTCCCTGTAAAAATCTGCCTTTCAAATAAAAACAAATAAATCTTAAAATACGAGATTTAAAGAAGAGGAAAGTCCCTCCCCACCAAACGAAACAGTGTAGGGCTTGCACTCGAGGTTCCAAACACAAGGCCAAGCATGCACTCCTTGGTATGAAGCTGCCCCTCTGTCCAAAAGAGGGTTTCAGTCATGATGCAGTGGTAGGACCTTGCACAGGATAAAGAAAGTATGTTCAGGTTGTCCCATTCCAAGAAAGAAGAGCAAGATGTGAATCGGGATCCTGGAAACTTCTTTTGAGGTATGCCTTGGAAACAGGGATATGGAGAGTGGCTTGTCTGGATCTTCAGTTACTCAAGTGAGGAAAGTCAGTCTTGTTCACTGGAACCTGGCATTCTGGTCCTGCCCCTGCAGGAGCAGGAGTTGCTGGTGATCGCTGCCACTCACCTCTTCTCTCACTTGCTTTCTCCAGGTGCCGTATCTTCAAGGCAAGACATGCACATAATCGTGGTCAGTGTTTTCTGGAGGGAAAGCAGAAAACAGGTCATGACACTCCACAGCACAGAGCCACCCTGACCAATCCCTCCTCCCTCCGCCAAGGGAAAGAAGACAGGCACAGAACACTTCTGATGCCACCTCTCAGTGTTGTCTTTGGGGCTGGAATGCCACAGGGAACTCTCTTGGCAAAATAAAGGGCTACCTTAAAAACCAAGCCTTAGTTCTTTCCTACCAGGTGTCTCCATTCACCAGCTAAAAACCTGTGCCCCATCTTGAGGGAGAACATCTGAAGCGTGTTCAAAAGAGGCAAAGGAGGGGTCTCAGGACGAAGTGTCTCATGCCTGGATCCCACACACCAGCCACCAAGTGCATGTGGTGAGCTCTCCCCAGGCCTGCCTGGGCTCCAGGGGCTGCTCCCTTCGAGGTGAGTACACTGAGGGGGAAGTCTCTGTGACTGGGCAGGTCCGGGGCCCACCCACCACCTTCATTGGGCAGTGAATGGGATTGGGGAAGGGTGCGACCTTGGGCCTGGGAGTTTAAACTTCCTGCAGCCTCCCGGCTGTGGGTGCGTCTCAGGACGGAGCGTCTCATGCCTAGATCCTACACACCAGCCACCATGTGCATGTGGTAAGCTTTCCCTGGGCAGCAAGTGCGCCATTTGGCCAGGGAGCTCTGGGGTTTGGGTTCTTTGAATCGCTGCTTAGGTAGCTCCAGGTCGAACCCACTGTGCTTCTGCGATGTGTCAATCCTAAAGATTCCTAATGACAGTAACTCTTCCTTGGAAGAACTTGTAATCACTTCACAATGCTGAGCACCAGTTCATGCAAAAGATATAGCTTGAGGCTTGTCCAGCAGAATCATATCCTGTTACCTGACATGATGATGGATCAGCTGATGGGTCACATTAGGCAGGGCCATGACATTAACTAGCACTTGAGAACCATATCCAGGGGTAGATTCTGTGGGGGATGTGAGGGCCGCACTCTGAGAAAATTCTAGCCCCACTGATTACCTCAAGAGTTGGGGTGGTGATGGACTAAGCTAGGTGTGACCAAGGAGCCTGCCATCAGTACCAGGCAAAGGATCCCACCACAGTCTGGACTGGTCAAGGCAGCAGCACCTGAATGTGCATCCTGAATAGGGTGTGGGGTGGGCCGGGCTGCAACATTCACCAGTTCATACATGGCCAAATGGAAGGCCAGATTGCGCCCGGCACTGGCCTAAAAGCCCATTGGCATGTACGAGAAATGGGCCGGGGAGTAGATCAAGTGGAGGAACTTGGGAAACTCCCCTGGCGAGTCATAGCTCCCGCTGGTGAACATGTGGTCCAGACCTGGGGGTCGGACAAGCTGGGCAAGGTAGCACCAATGGCTGGCCATTGTGTGAATTGGTAATGGAGAGTGATGTACTGGCAGGACCAAGCAAGCCTTGGCCTACAAGTAAACTAGAAACCTGCAAGGAGCACAGGTCATGCCGAGCTAGGCTCTTGCACCTACTGGTATACGTGAGTCAGGGACGCTAAGCCACAGTGTCTAAGGCAGAGGTCAAGACAGGTGAGGGGATGAGCTAAACTAAGTCAGAGCAACCACTGCCATGTGCCTGATCTATGGCTGGGAACAGGCCTGGTTGGGGAGCTAAGGGGACACCCTAACAGGGTGGAGGTTCCCACCAAGGGGCAAAGTGTCTGGAATGGGGGATGCGTTCTAATCAGGAAACGATTGTAGTCTCCCTTGGCACAAGTGTGGACTGGGACTGGATGTACCATGCCGGGCCAGACCCCAACACTGTCTGGTGTTGGGGTAGATGTGGGATGGACTAGACTAGGTCTCAACCCCTGCTGAGCCATATGTGAGCCATATGTGGGTATGGACGAGCCACAACTGGGCTGAAACATTCAACAGCAAGAACCAGATTGGGTTGAAGGCCAGTCAGGAAAAGCCACTGCTCCTGCTATGACAGGAGATGAACCAAGTAGGTCTGGCTCATGGAACCTCTGTATGCACAAAAGCTGGCACTGGGAGGGGTCCTGATGGAGGAGCCTGGGCAACTCCTCTGGCAGGACACAGTCCCTGCAGGTAAGCGCAAGAAGCATGATAGGAAACAGCCCAGAACAGCCCATGGAAAGTTTCCCACTGGCATACATTTAGCATGGGTTGGGAGCAGACCAGGCTGAGTCAGTTCACGTCAGCCACTGGCAAATCCAGGTACCAGAACAGAGTGTGGGTCGGGCCAGGTTCGGTCATGACAAAAACCAGGGCACAATAAGGAATGCCAAGGTGAGATTGCCTGCACCGGATGTGACCACAGCGCCCAACCAGCATGCGTGAGAACCAGGAAGGGAGGGGGCAGAGCTGGCAGGGGAATAAGGGAAGGTCCCCTTGCCGGACAGCTACTCCCACTGGAGAGCATGGGCTGGGATGGGGGCAGACCAGACTAAGCAGAGCTACAACACTTATGCACCATGTGGACTAGATCAGGGAAAAGCCAGGCTGAGCTGATTATTCCTACTGGTGCAAGCATAAATTGGAGTGGGTGAGAGAGAACTGGGGGGGAAATAGTGGGCTCCTCCCTCTTGGGCTATCACTCCCACGAGAAGGTACGAAAACTAGGATGGGGGCTGGGGAGGCTAGAGAGAGAGGCACTCAACAACATCTGTGAGGGCTGGATAGTTGAACTGGTTGGATGGAACTAAGCTTCAATACCCATTGACATGTATGAGAGCCAAATGGGATATGGGACAGACTGGACTAGTCTGCTACACATACTGGCAAACCAGGGTAAGGGGCGAGCCTGGTGGGGGTTATTGCGGGTTGCCCTGACTAGGCTGCAGCTCCCATTGGTTTATGTGAGGGCCACATATGTTCTGGACTGCAACAGTCTGGACTGCAACACCCATTGGTTCCAGTGGAAGGCGGGCTGAAAACAGAACCAACCCAGCAATTGCAACCACCAGCTGATTGGGGCGATGGACTGTGCCAGGCCCTCCCCAGTTGAAATGCCGGACTTAGAACCCTAACCAAGAACAGACAGAAGACAGAGCAAGTCAGTGGATTCGCCAACGACCTCATCATGCTTGGAGTGGCGAGATTGGCAGCGATTCATAAATGGTGAACTTCAAAACCACTTGAGCAAGTATCTCAGAGCATGCCCCACATCTGGGACTTGGGGTGGGTGGGAAACTGGGTGGGGCTTCTCCCTCAATACCCCCCTTTACCTCAGACACATGAAGGAAACAATATGGAAATAATAGTCTTATCCATTTCCCTATAGCCCTTGAACCTTTTTACCCTAATTAACTACGTAAAGATTGTGAAAAATAAAATTTTAAAAAAAGAGGCAAAGGAAAGGGAAAAGGAGACAAGGCCAGTCGGAGGGTATTTTTCCACTGGCAGCTGAGGCTTTCAGAGCTCACTTTGCCAGTGTAGACCAGTGAGGCGAGCTGACTTGAGAATGTCACCAGTTCTTAGGGAAGATCTCTGAGGGGTGTCTACAGGGGTTCCCACTGATCTGATTGCTGAGTCAAATGCAGCCACAACTCTCAACCAACCCTGACAACCTGGGCTTGCCCGGTTGTGGTACAGGCACAGTGCCAGATCATTTCTTGGTTTTTTGGCTAAGATCAAGGGCAGGTACAGTGCCAGATTCCAAGCTCTGCTGACTTTTGGGCTTCTTGTTCTGAAAGATTTGACAGGAAATGCCCTGGGAACACATTTGCAGTTGGACCTGTGGTAAGGGATTTTGTACATACCTGGGTGCCCTTACTCTTGTACTGGCACGAGCAAGGACAGAGGAAACAGGTGTTTGGGGAAAGTTTTGATTTTAATGACCCAAACTCCATGTTTAGTCATGCTTGAGAAGGTGAGAAGCTTCCTGTATGTGAAAAGGATATCTTTGTGGAAGGTAGACTAGAATGGGTGTGGAGTGATTGCAAACCCCTCAATAACCCTCAGTCCTCTGTCATTGTTAGCTGGAACAAGAGCTCTCATCATCGCTGCCTGCCCCGCGGTAACTGAGAACTCATTGAGTAACTACAGTCCACCACGAGAAAGCAAAATTACACATAAAATCCTCCGGAAGTTTGTGTTTGATACATTGCTAATGAGAGCAGATTCCAAAGATACAACGAAGAAAGAATAGCTACTAGTGATGTGATTTGGGAGACAGAACTATGGATTCATCATACTCAAATCCACTGGCCATCTCTTATCCTCTACCAAGACTTAAGGCATTCAAGGATATATTTTAAATAGCTTGTCATCTAACACAATAGATAAATATCTGCTAATGAAATGTTAAGATGTAACAGAATGAACTCTGGGCAAGGCATGAAAGTACTTTTCTCTCATTTGAATATCTACTTGTCCATCAGATGCCAAACTTGAGCTCTTGGCACAAGCTCTGCTTGGCTGTCAACAAGAGAGTACTCTACATCTTGGCTACCTACAGGGCTCAGAAGATTAAATGGAAAATGCCTGTAGTATGATGAAGCTGTTCAGAGAAAAAGTCATAGGAAAAAGCATTTATTTATATTGATTCTCCAAAATAAGTCATGGGTAGGAATGGAGCTAGCTTCTTCATGACTCAGAGTGAGAGCTTTTACCATAAACAGTATCCAACTTTGATTCTGATCTTCTCCATGGTGGGCAGGGCCTGGTTCTCCAGATGGGTTTCAAAAGCTGAACCACCAGCCCTTGACCTGGCTTTTCAAATTTGGAGATCAATTCTTTCAGGTTTGGGAAGAGCTGCTCAGGGGTGCCTTTTGCAGTCTGCAAAAATACAAGAAAGGAGTTCTCTCACTATAGTGTGAAATTGTGAGTGTGGAACCCAACATTTCTCAAAGCAGCGACTTTCAAAGATGCCACTGGAAAAGGGTGGCTACCAGTTCAAGCTTCCGAGTCCACGCCAACCTCAACTTACAGGAACCCAGGCTTTCAAGACTGACTTCTTACTTAAACTATTCTGTGAAAAGAGGATGTATAGATCCTGACTTAACTAGCTAATCCTCTTCCTGCAAGAACTAGCATCTCGATATAGATGTCAGTTCATGTCCTGGCTGCTCCACTTCCCATTCAGATCCCTGCTTGTGGCCTGGGAACGCAGTAAAGATAGCCCAAAGCCTTGGGACTCTGCACCCGTGTGGAAGACTTGGAAGAAGCTCCTGGTTCCTGGCTTCAGATCGGCTAAGCTCCAGCCACTGTGGCCATTTGGGGAGTAAACCAGCAGATAGAAGACCTTTCTCTCTGTCTCTCATTCTCTCTGTAAAATCTGGCTTTCCAATAAAAATAAATAAATCTTTAAGAGAATTTGTTATCAATGTCTGAAGTATACTTGGCATACTGTTGTGGGGCCATTCTTGTTGTAGACATGGTGCCAGACTGTGGGCCTTGTTGGCAAACTTTGCTGCCTGCGGGGACTGACAGAGGTGGGCTTCTGATGGGAAAGGAGCAAATGAAACTACCCTGCTTGATGAATGCAGAATCCCCATGGGGGAAGCAAGGCCAAAGGAGTGTCTGCGTAACTCAGTGAAATTGGCAATAGCTGTTTCCTGTTTATTAGCTATATGCCAAGTACTGTTTTATAATGTGGTCTTACAGAAATGATAAAAACAAAAGGAATTAGCTTGCCCTGCTCTCACGATGTTTGCTTCTCTTGATCATCACTGTGGCTCTCCTCTGGCCACCAGGCTGTGCTACAGAAAGGGGTGGTGAGCAGAGATGTCTGACCTGCAAACTGGTTAACCTCAAGGCTGACATGGCTGAGATAGTGGCTGACATTGTAGTTGTCTACAGGAAAGCTGCTGCAGCCCATGGCATCCCTGGCTGTAGGCCTCTGGCCACCGTGTAGTGCTGCTTCTTGAAGAAATGGCTCTTGGTGTCTGAGTTAGCATTGATTTGGATGCAGCCTGTGTTGTCCAGATGAGGAGACAGAATAGGGCATTGGGAATTAATACAGGATTTCCCAAAATAAGCACAGCAAAGAAAATGTGCTTAAAAGCAAGTACTATAAGACATTTTTACAAGATGTTTCATTGCGAAGTAGTTTCCGGTGTAGAAAAGTTGCAAATTAGTAAAGAGTCTAGAGTTGTAGCACAGTGTGTTAAGCCATTGTTTGTGCTACCGGAATCCCAAATTGAAGTGCTTAATACAGTCCCATCTGCTCTGATAATGGCCACTGCTAAAACAGCACATCTGAGTTCTTGGCCCCTGGCCACACGTTGGAGATCAGGATGGAGTTTCTAGCTCTTGGCTTCAGCCCTAGTTATTGCTGACATTCAACAGTGAACCAGTGGATGAAAAATCTCTTTCTCTCTGTCTCTGCAGCTCTGCCTTCCAAATAAATAAATCCTTAAAAATAGGTAGAAAAAAATATTTAAAAACCCATATATTGTCTTCACTTAGAACCTAGATGCTAATTTTTTTTAAGATTTATTTTTATTATGTTTCTATTGGAAAGGCGAATATACAGAGAGGAGAGACAGAGAGGAAGATCTTCCGTCTGATGATTCACTCCCCAAGTGACCGCAACGGCCGATGCTGTGCCTATCTGAAGCCAGGAGCCTCTTCCGGGTCTCCCACACGGGTGCAGGGTCCCAAAGCTTTGGGCTGTCCTCGACTGCTTTCCCGGGCCACAGGCAGGTTGCTGGAAGGGAAGCGAGGCTGCCGGGATAGAACCGGCACCCATATGGGATCCCGGGCATGCAAGGCGAGGACCTTAACCACTTGCGCCACCGTGCCGGGCCCCTAGATGCTAATTTTAATTTTTATTCTTAATGTATATACATATAAATGTGCCTAAATAAATGTGACTAATCTTTTTCAACACTTCTTGAGTTTTAAGTCACAGGAAAAGTATCCCTTTCACCCTGAATACTTCAGTATTTTCCAAGAAGTAAGAGCATTCTATAATCACACCATGCTGAGTCCCACCGGGAGTCAGCCTTGTTGCCATGCCATAGGTTGAGTATTCTTGATTTACTATGGTTGGGTTGAACCAGAGTGCTTCAAGTTTGGGAGGTTTGGGCATTTGGGAACATTTGCATGAATATATATGATGAGATATCCTTTGGAAAATGCTCAAGTCTGAACACAGATTTTATTTATGCTTAATATAACATATCTTGAAGGTAATTTTATGCAACATTTTCCAGAATTTTATAGATGAAACAAACTGGAAGTTTTTCCAATTTGCATTATGTCAGTTCTCAAGATGTCTGGGATTCTCAAACATTCCATATTTTGGGTTTTCAGCATAGGGATGCTCAACCTGCGCTTGCTGCTCTTACCTGAATCTTGCCAATTATTTTAAACAATATCCATAAAGATATGGAAAAAGAAACATTATGTACATAATTAAGTTGCTTGGGGATCATTACATATTGTGTTTGATTCCAGTTATTCCCAATGTGTGTTAGCATATTGACGATAATGACAAATCTAATAAAAAGAATCTGCTTAACATCTTATACAGGTGTTCAGAAAGATTATTTCAGAATTTTCTATAGGTAATCCAAAATGTTTGCATTTATTTTACTTTTTACACTAGGTAACTAAAATCAAAAGATGCAAAAGATTTTTCTACTCAACTCCCGGTAACCTAGAAAAATTAACCAAATTTCCAAAGCTTCTGGTTTTTTGATACTTCCATTTATCTCTTTTCAAAAAATTGTTTATTTATTTGTTGAAAGAATCACAAAGAGGAAGAGGCAGAAGCAAAGAGAGTGCGAGAATGAGGGGAGGGATGGGAAGAGAGAGAGATTCCATCCACTGGCTCACTACTTAAATGGCAGCAACAACTGGGTCTGGGTCTGAACCAGGCCAAAGTCAGGAGCTTCAAGTGGCTCTCCGAAGTGGGTGCAGGGGCCTGGGTACTTGGGCCATCTTCTGCTATTTCCCAATTGTATTATCAAGGAGCTCTATCGGAAGTGGAGTATCCAAGAACCAATCTAGCGCCTCCATGGGATGCCAGCATCACAGATTTCTAATGTGCTATGCCACAGCTCTGGCCTCCGTTCTCTTTTCATTTTTATTTTATTTTTTATTATTTTTTTAAAGATTTATTTTTATTATTTTTTTATTGGAAAGGCAGATATACACAGAGGAGAGACAGAGAGGAAGATCTTCCATCCGATGATTCACTCCCCAAGTGAGCGCAACGGCTGATGCTATGCCGATCTGAAGCCAGGAGCCTCTTCCGGGTCTCCCACGCGGGTGCAGGTTCCCAAAGCTTTGGGCTGTCCTCGACTGCTTTCCCAGGCCACAGGCTGGAAGGGAAGCGGGGCTGCCGGGATAGAACTGGCGCCCATATGGGATCCTGGGCGTGCAAGGTGAGGACCTTAACCACTTGTGCCACCGCGCCGGGCCCTCTTTTTATTTTTGTATGACCTGAATATGCTTGACTTCCTAAACTCCAGATCTCTTCCCAGCTTTTCATTCTGTCCTGCTTCATTACTTAGTTTTCTAATCCAGCAATGGTTTTGCTGGAGTCCAGGTTGGTGCATCTGGATATTGTTGGCGCCTGGGTTATGTGCCTTTACATGTTTGAATAGTAGCCAGGGCAAGAGAGCACCTAATAGCACCTTCTCACCTCTCAGGAGGACAAGCTCATCTATTGGTCTGTCTTGTGACTCTGTCTTCACCAGGTATCTTCCCAGGTTCAAGACATGACCTCAGGTCCTTCTCTCCCAACTTCTGTTGCTTCAGGAGTCCTTCTAGGTCTTACCTTTATCTTTTTTTTAAAAAATTATTGATTACATTGTATTATGAGACACAGTTCCATAGGTACTGGGATTCCCCCCACCCCTTCCCCCATGGTGGACTCCTCCACCTTGTTGTGAGACCACAGTTCAAGTTCAGTTGAGACACCTTCATTGTAAGCATATACCAAGCATAGAGTCCAGCATCTTATTATCCAGATAAGTTCATCCACTTCTTGGGGAGACCTTCTCTGGTTTGAAGGTAGGGCCAAGACAGCAAGATCCCGATCAATTAAAAGCCCCAGCAGCAACAATATATATCATTATGGAATTAATTGACATAGTGTTGAGTAAACAATATTTTAAAATTACATGTAAGTTCTTAACAACCTCCTGTGACTATTTCAATGACATTTTAACAATTGAGGTGCATAACAGCTTTAGGAAGGGTATGCAGAGAAATCTTTCATACCTTGGTGAGGAGTACTTGTTCTTTGTGTTCTACCTAGTAGGGTATGTGTGAGTCCATGCTGACCAATCTTTCTTTGTTATTCTAAGCTTATAGTGTGTGTGAGTATGTGTGTGTGCATGTGTGTTTGGGGGGGGGTCTGGAGCAAACCTGTTGTGTTGGGGGCACTGACAATTTCCTGCCCTGTGACTGGCCCTTTGCCCTGATTGGTGTGCCTTGGTGCTGATTGGACAGGACTGACATATAAGCCAGGGGTTGGCGGGGGAGGAGCTTCAGCGTAACGGAATTAACGCACATAATGGTTTCAACGGAAGATCTGAATAAAGTGCCTCGGAGACTCTCTCAAGTGTCGGGTGATTTCTTCTGCGGGACGGGAGACCCCCAATAACTGGCGCTGTGACTCGGATACAAGTCAGCTGGTGAACACCAGGAAGGTAAGCTGAGCAGATCGCTCAGGGAGCCGCTTACAGCAGGAATTAGTTTACAACTGAGCTTTTTGCTCAGGAAGACACACTAGGCGGGGACGTGCAGGTCAACTTCGTGGGTTCAGTGACGAGTCAAGTTTGCGGGTTAATGACCATTCAAACTCAGGTCTAGTGACCATTCAAGCTCTCGGTCTAGCGACCATTCAGGCTCTAGGTTTACCGCCCATTCAGGTTCATGGTTTAGCGGCCATTCAGGTTCGCGGTCTAGTGCCCATTCAAGCTCACAGTTTAATGACCATTCACGTTCACAGTTAACGATCTGTCAATTTTGCGAATTTATGATCAGTCAAGTTCGCAGGTTAGCGACGATCAAAGGTAATAGAAATATGGGCAATTTAACTTCTTCAGTGCGCACGCAGCCTTTATTGCAGAAATTGCTGACAATACTGTTGTTTTTGCAAACTGTGCAAAGGATTGCCCTGTGGTTTCTGGAGGAGGGCCTTTTGATCCTGCCACAATGGGAGCACTTAGGCAGAGACATCTAGGGCAGAACGGCAGGAGCCCCTCCCTCCAGGAATGGTCAGGTTCTGGACATTGATTAAGTCTTGCCTGACAAATGGCACTGAGGCAATTCAGAGGACTTATACAGGAAGGTGAGAAAGTCTTATGGAAATGCAAAAAAAAAAAAAGGATGGTTTAAAGACCCTTAATAATTTCCAGCAGGTATTGGAACATATTAATTGGATCCGACCATATCTTCATATTATTGGACAATGCCAAAATTGTGTCCCCTTTTTATCCCAGCCTTGCTTTGGGGTTAATCCCCATGGTTTTATGCCTAATCATATATGGCAGATGGATATTATCCATGTTCCCAGTATTGATCACCTTTCTTTTCTTCATGTCTCTATCGATACCTGCTCTGGGGTTCTTTATGCCTCAGCTCATACAGGGGAAAAGGTTCAAGATGTTATATCTCACTGCCTTCAGGCTTTTGCAGTCTGGGGTGTCCCCCAGTGTTATAAGACTGATAATGGACCTGCCTATACACCCAAAGCATTTGATAAGTTTTGTTCTGAATTTGCGATTAAACACTCCACTGGCATCCCATATAATCCCACAGGCCAGGCTGTGGTCGAGTGTGCCCATGCAACTCTCAAAGCATTATTAATAAAACAAAAAGGGGGAGTAGGAGCCACCCTATATCCCAATAGTCCTAAACATCAGTTGGCTTTAATTACTTATATTTTTAATTTTTTGATTTTGGATTTGGATGGCCGTTCTGCCGCCGAACGCCACGCTGTTGGCGCAGGCCCCTGCAAAGATTGGGTGATGTGGAAGGATGTTTTAACAAAACAATGGATGGGCCCACATCCTGTCTTACGACGGACGTGAGGAGCGGTGTGTGCTTTTCCGCAGGATTCTAATCGACCAGTGTGGGTGCCAGAACATTTGACGTGAGTGATAAGAAAGCTGGAGCAAGATGAACCTGTGGACGTGGTGGATGCTGACCAGCCTGATATTCATTCAGATACCGAGAGGAGACAGCCAGAATCTCCAGCTATGGGCGATAGTGAAAGTGTGGCCAATCCCCCTTCCAGTGAGAAGCAATGGTTATGACTGCATCAGTTCCCTGACTGTGCCTGAAGAGCGAATGTAACGGCACTATAAAAGGGGTGTGGCAAATATTGCCTCACTGTCTAGGGCCTTGGAAATGGTCCCAGAATGGACTGGCTATCAAAGTACTGTGACTCCTAGAAGAGTAGCACCTGGTCTTGCTGTGACCAATTTATTTCCTACCTGTTCAAATTCTACCTTTGTGGGGTATAACTATACAAATGGTAACCCTGTTCAATCTGTTTCTGCTCAGCCTTGCAATGCCTGGGTACTTTGCACTAGTAGGGGTGGGTGTTCAGATAGATCAGCTTTTGCATTTATTGATAAGGTAGTGATAAAAAATTATAATTATAGTAGTAATAGTTCTAGAATATGGGAAGAAGATGTTAAAGTTAATTGCAGTCGTGATGTTATCTATAATGCTATTTATGTATGTGTACAAGCTCCACTTATGTTTATTGTTTCCATGAGTGCTAATGTTACACTTTTGAATTGCTCTGTAGTTAAGTGAGCCCTTAACCAGTGTTGGAATGGCTCTGGCACTGTGGTGCTGGTATGCATTCCACAACTTATTTCCATGCCCGTTCAGGAGAAAGAAAGTGATCTTCAGGTTCTTATTCGTCATACATTTTAAAACAGGCATTTTATTTGTTAATCAGAGAGTGGATCTTTTGCAGGAGGCAGTGGAACAACTGCTCCATTATATGGGGACCTCCTGTGTGCTTAGTCTACCTGGAATGTGTGTCACTCCCTCTATTGTCACCAATGGTTCCTGAGCATTGAATTTGTCCAGAGTTATCTGCTATGCTATCCCCTAATGGAAGCTGGTCCATATGATTTGATAATTTGACTTAGGAACTAAGATCCCAAATTATAGCCATAAATAGCACCAAAGTAGAGATTGCCACGGTAGAGCAATGGACAAATTGGATACTAAAGGATCTTTCCTTTGCACGCCAGTGGGCCGGTATAGTAGGCCTGGGCCTTATCTTATTAATTATCATTCTTTGGGGTCTGTGGATGCTTCATCTTCGAGCACAGCGTCAGCAGCAGTAACAGCAGCTGCTAGTGCAAGCTGTGCTTGCCGTTCACAACAGAGAATCCCCAGAAGTCTGGCTAGGCATGCTGGACCGGTAGCCAGAGACGGGTAAGTATCCGATATGGCTTCACCAACCTAAGACAGGTGCCATGTTCCTAGCCACGTGGTTAGCCCATGATGGGTGAGGGGAGCCTGAACTCGGAACACCTAAGACAGGCATGGTCCCTTGCTTAGTAAAACAAGAAGGGGGAGCTGTTGGGGGAACTGACAATTTCCTGTCCTGTGATTGGCCCTTTGCCCTGATTGGTGTGCCTTGGTGCTGACTGGACAGGACTGACATATAAGCCAGGGGTTGGCGGGGGAGGAGCTTCAGCGTAACGGAATTAACAGACATAATGGTTTCAACATAAGATCTGAATAAAGCGCCTCGGAGACTCTTTCAAGTGTCGGGTGATTTCTTCTGTGGGACGGGAGACCCCTGATACTGTTGGTCATTGTAGAGGCTGGGGGCCCAGAGCTGGAACTAAGTAAGGACTGGAGAAGGCTCCTCTCCCTTGTCCCGAAGGAAGTTATTGTTCTTCTGATTCTGAGGACCACTCGTGGTTCCTGGCTGCTGTTCCAATGACTTTGGATCCTATGAGGAAGGACTTGGGCTTCTTCCATCTTGTGTAGTATGTCCAAAGAGGGGGGATGGATGTCCTCTGGGTTCTCGGCCTCCTAAGGCATTCCAGTTCCCTGTGTTCTCTTTGGCGGTTGTGGTGACATCCTTGGTGGCCGTTCTGATAGACCGTGGTAGGAATCTGGGACTCCTTATGATTGGGATATAAGCCTCCTCCTGTCCTGCTGCTCCGCTCTGGGGCTCTTCCCTATTCTGTACATATAACTCCCTAATAATAGATTATTAGGGTCGCTCCTGATTCCCCCTGTATGTCTTTGTAGTTTTTACTATTGTCTAATGGTGTTCTGAATCTGTCGTCTATAAGTTGCCTATCTAGTTCCTGTAGGTTACACTACACGGTTTCCTCACACATTTAAGGAAGTGAGAGATTTCTCTGAGTACCCACCCAATTTCTGTGTATCACAGGGTTTTGGGAGTGTATTGGGTATTACAATCATTCAAAACACGTGGGATGAGACCCTATTAGTTACAGGTTCATCTGAGGAAGATTTACCGTCATTGGAAATCTTCAGGGTTGTTTCGCATCCCCAAAGCACTGCGGGTTCAGCGTGGAGCTGTCTGAGCAGCATTCAGAGAAGCAAAATCCCAGGGCTCCCTGGCCAGGTGGCCAGCAGGCAGAGCGTAGCACCAATTTGCGCACTGGCTGTCCAGAGCGGCTCCCTATGTGGGCGTGGGAGCCGCCTTGGTGCTTACCAGGTTATAAACAGCTGTACCCGGGGACCCTCAGCCGCCACATGGCAGCGGGGGAAGAACCCCCTGGGTCTAGGCTCCGCCGCCCTGGCCATGTCCTCAGCTCAAGCCACGCCCCTGGCGACCCGCAGGACCACCCAGGCTCGCTACACAGAATCCCACCCCCTCCAAAGGCAGGCCATCCACAGGACTCCAGCAAGCCCGGAGCGGCTCCCCATGTGGGCGTGGAAGCCGCCTTGGTGCTTACCAGGTTAGAAACGGCCGTACCATATGGCAGCTGAGGAACCAATCCCCCCTTACCTTTATCTTGTAATGCCCATTCTTCTCTCTGGAGATTCGGTATGTATAGACAAAATTTTTAAACCTGTGGAAAGATGACTGTGTGATTCACAATGTTCTGAAATACAAATCCAGGTAACTTCTTCTACCATATTTTATACTTGATGCCTTTGTCAATCTTGAAGTCTCAAATAGAACTGATTGTTTTCAGCATCTTGCATCTGTGGGAAGTTTAAAGAAATAGATTTTGAAATAGGGATGCTTAATCTGAAAGTCCGAGTTCTAGCAAAGAGGATAAGGAGAGAGAATTTATGACTGCCATGGTCTTGTACTTCTCTGTTATTTTAATTTAGCCTGAAGTTAACAGGACAGTGAATCACGTCTGTGCTTCTCATTATGACTTGCCATTGGTGCATTAGAGATGGTGGCATGAATGTAGAGAATGATGTTTTCAACTTGTGATGGGTTCACTGGGATATATCCCATTAAGTCAAGGAAGATATCCACTTTCAACTCTACTTAATTTTATTTGTTCAAAGGGCAAAATCAGAAAGCTGATTAAATTCAACACTCTTCTGCTTGTGTGTGGCTGAGGGGAAACACAGCCACATGGACTGTTTTCGATCTGAATTAATGACCTTGAACCCCACCTAAGCTCTAAATGCTTTGAAGGAATCATTCAGTTTTCAACAGTGATTCGACATCTTCTTTCTCCTGTCTTTCCAACCCCATTCCTCTGCCCTGAGATGTATCATCTCTTCACCAGTCTTACAGAACTTCCTGCCTCCTGCCACCACACTTGTTAGCATCTGCCTTCATGTGTTCTGCCTTTATTGCTCTAGATAAATTTGGCGTGTCATTCTCCAAAGCTAATTGCTGTTTCCTCAAAATGCCAATCTGCTGCATCCATTAAAGGGCATAAGTTTCTCTCTCTCTCTCCCCCCACCCTAAATTATTCTTCTTTACACACAGCCTGGGTGTACCTTGTAAATTTGTCATATAAGGGTCATTCCTCTGCACACAAACCAAGGTTTGGAATATTCTGGTGAAATTCAGAGAAGTAAAGATTGGGCAGCGGAAGAGGAGGTCTCCGATCTTATAAAACTATAATTAAGAAAATGAGGCAATTGCCTAGGTTGCATTGTACTTAGGAAATTGTTACACTGCTGGGAGAAAAGCAACCAATGGCTGGCGGGCATTCTGAGCCTGGTTAATGCTAAAATTGTGTTAACTCTACTAATGTGCCAACATAGTTACCTATTCTTTATTTTATTTCTTAAGATATGTTGGGGGAGATGCTGGCACAATGGCAGACAGGTCTGTGAACCCACACACAAGCCTGCCTGGAGCCCAGGTAATCAGGTGAGAGGGATGCAGGAAGCATGGCACACCACCAGAGGACTGGATTTGGGGATTGGCATGCTTGTGGGCATGGGGGGCCATGGATTACTCAAGGAAGGCAATCTGGAGGTGTGTGGGAGGGGAGACTGCTAAGGGAGAATGTGACAGCCGAGAAGTGACATCCAGGGGAACTTTCACCAACCAGGCTGCTGCACTTGCAGGTAAACAAGGGGGCCGAGATCTGGTGGTTTGGAGGAAGGAAATTGGAAAAACTTTCAGGGCCAAACCAATACATGCCACCCACATGGGAGACCTGAGCTGGCTTGTTGGTATCAACCACCTTCTCCTGGAGCACTTAAAAACCATGACTGGGAGGCCTGCCTGGAAGGCGTTGGCCACAGTACTCACCAGTGAGTATTGGGGTAGGGGGTGGACCACATCAGGTGGGGTCATGATACTAACCAGCATGCAAGAAAATCAGATCTGGGGGCAGATTCTGTGAGGGATGTGTGAGCTCAACGCTGTGGGACTTGCATACCAGCTGGTTTACCCACGGGCTGGGAATAGTGACACACTGAGCTCGGCATGACCCAGAAACAGGAAGAATAGAAAGGATGATTGGAAACAGTTTTGTCTCATCCACTTTTCCACATTTCTCAACCCTCTGCAGCCTAACTGGTGATCCACATCAAAAAACAAAACAAATTCAATATATATAAAAAGAGAGAGAGAGAGACTGGTTCTTGGAAACAAGCAAAAAATATTAGTGGCATAAAAGAGACTCTAGGAACAGACCTGTGTATAAAAACTTGTTATAGACCAGAGCTGAAACAACAGATTGGAGTAGAGGGGCTAGACTAGTTGCTGCATGGCAATGGAAATGTTTACATGTGGAAACAAAATTTGATTCCTTCTTTGCACTCTAATTGAAAGCCCAATTACAAAAAAACAAAATATTAACATTTGGGGAAATAAACTTGAGTGAACAATCAGGGTACCTTGAGTTTATGAGTTCTTAAGCCACATAAAGTGCAAGCTGTGGGCAAGATTAATGAATTTTACTTTTCTTAAGCTAAAATCCCATTTATCAAAATACACAATTAGCAGAGTGAAAAAGCCCACGAACTGAGAGAAGGAAATTACAACACAAATATACGTTAATATTAACGTACAACAAAAAAACCCAAGTAAATGGCATTGAAGGGAGTAAGAACACAAGTTTGTACCTTATATTCTAGGGACAGTAAATAGAGAATCTCCCACTGGGAACTCTTACATTTAATTTCAAAAGACTATTCTAGCCTGCCTCAACCCAAGTTTCTGTATTTCCTTGTCCCAGGCAGCAAGACCTACCGTGTTGAATTGCCCAGGAAAGCTGGCCCTAATCCCCTATCATTCCTCAATTTTCTTGGAATTCTTCCACCCCTAGAAATACCCACAAGACCCCAAGCTATAAAATGCCTAGTTTGCTGAAATACTGAGCCTTTGCCAGATGGTCACTCCTTCTATGCCCAGGCAGATGGCCAGATCTTTTCATTTATCTCTAATAAATTCGATTTGGCTATGAGTTTGCTTCCTGTTTCTCCTCTGTGTTTCTACACCTCTTTCCCAACATTGGTGCCTTACTTTCTGCATCACTTTCCTAATGGTAATAAACGTGTGAAAAGATGTTCTACTCTATTATTGCTCAGGGAAATATGAATTAAGCAATAGTTAGGTATCATTTCATACCAGAATGCCAGAGAGGTAAGATTTATTAATACAAACTATTGGCAGTGTTGTGGAGTTATAGAAAATTTTATATACTACCAATGGGAGGCTAATTGGAAACTCATGTTTTCTAGGACAATTTGGAATGTTTTAGGAAAATTTAAATATATATAATCTATGAGCTCCAATTTCCATTCTTTGGGGTGACTGCATTGGGACAAAATTGGCAATGACAAAATTTTATTATTTATTAAAACACAAACATCAGTGCACAGTACCATGGGCTAGTAGGCAAAGCCATTGTCTGCAATGCAGGCATCCCATGTGGGTGCCAGTGTTATGTTCTGGCTTCTCGTTTTCTGATCCAGCTCCCTGTTTATGGCCTGGGAAAGCAGCAGAGGATGGTTCTTAGGCCCTTGTAGTCACAGGAAGAGAACCCTGTAGACACTGGCTCCTGGCTATTGATCTACTCAGCTATAGCCATTTCAGCCATTTGGGGAGTAAGCCAGCAGATAGAAGATCTTTCTCTGCCTCTTCTTTTCTCTAACTCTGCCTTTCACATAAAAATAAATATATCTTTTTAAAAAAGCCCAAAGATTAGAGAAACTAAGTATTTAACACATTTAATATGTTTAAGATACAAAAATTGGATCTGGTGAAGTAGCCTAGTGGCTGAAGTCCTCGTCTTGCACATGCTTAGATCCCATATAGGTACCAGTTTTTTGTCCTGGTGGCCCTGTTTTCCCATCCAGCTCCCTGCTTGTGACCTGGGAAAGTAGTCAAGGACAGCTTTGGGACCCTGCACCTATGTGGAAGACCCAGAAAAGGTTCTGGGCTCCTGGCTTCGAATCAGCTCAGTTCTGTCTGTTACAGCCACTTGGGGAGTGAATTAGCGGATGGAGAATCTTCCTCTCTGTCTCTCCTCCTCTCCTATATTTGACATTCCAATAAAAATAAATACATCTTTTAAAATATATATAAAAATTAAGTAAAAGTATAATTGAAAAGACATAACAGAAACAAATTTTCTGATATCTAATATTATAAATTAATTAAACACAGTGTCCAGGGACTGGCACAGTAGCTACAGTCCTTGCCTTGCACACGCTGGATTCCATATGGGCACTAGTTAGTGTCCCAGCTGCTCCATTTCCTCCCAGCTCCCTGTCTGCAGCCTGGGAAAGCAGTCAAGGACAACCCAAAGCCTTGAACCCACATGGGAGACCTGCAGAGGGTTCTGGCTCCTGGTGTGGGATCAGCTCAGCTCTGGCCATTGAGGCCACTTGGGGAGGGAACCAGGGGATGCAAGATCTTTCTCTCTGTATCTCCTTCTTTCTATAGATCTGCCTTTCCAACAAAAATAAAACAAACCTTTAAAAAAAGCAAACCACAGTATTCAGAAAATGACAATTAAACGTTCCATAAAATTTAATTTATTAATCAGGAGAAAGTCGGAAAGTAAAATAATTTCTTTCAAGGTTCAATTTTGAGATAAAGAAAAAACACAAAAGAAGAGATGAAGGAAGGAGGAGAAAGAAGTGGGGGCAAAAAGGGGAGGGAGGACATACCCACCTGTGCCTCATACTTGTCTGTATTAGTTGAGATATAGTAAGAATATAATCATTTCCAAAAACAGCTCCTCACTTCCTCATTTCAAATCATCCCATGTCTTGGTTTTGGTTGACAGCTTAGAGATATTTTTTGAACACTGGATTTTTATAGTTGATATTTTTCTCTATTGAAGGTTACCAAATTTGTTCCTTAGCAAGATGGGTGGTAAGTTGTGTAAAGGCAATGTGCTTACTAACTGCCCTGAAACAGCCCTCTCTCCAAAACAAAGCAATTCAACTGATCTCAAGGACATACTGCTGATTCATCAGTCCTTTGTGATTCAATTACTGCGAGGGAAAAGTTACATTTTTTTTCCCCTCTAGACATTCTCTTTTCTGAAGATTTATTTTCCAGAAAAAAAAACCCTTCATATTCCCCACAAAATGGACCTAGAATGAATACAGTCCCCCAAAAAAATTGCAT